GATCAAGAGACCCCTGAAATAATGTCTGGAGAAGGCTAAGCAAAGGAGATTTTCCATTTGCTTGCTTGCCCTTATGTTACGTTGTCATCTCGGGGTAGGGGTCAGGTACCTTTCAAATAATTCTCCAATATATTCCAATTATGTGGCAAGTACCGACGCCTTCCTGTTGCTTCTGCCTCTTTCTATACATGTGAAAGCAAAAACAAAACTAAACCACAATGATCCGCAGACTAAAATGCCATGGAATTCTTTGTAATCCCATGTAGTCCTCCATCTCACTGTAAACTCGACCATGCGAAGTAGAATATGGGGGGTCTTTAAAATTAATTGTAGGGTGGTTGACCTCTTCCATACTTGCCCTTGATTTTCCATTTGCTTGCCTGACCCCTCCTATACGTCTACTTGATTTTCCATTCGCTTGCTTGCCCTTACGTTACGTTGTCATCTCGGGGGAGGGGTCAGGTACCTTTCAAATAATTCTCTGTCAATAGGGATGAGGTCCCAGTATGGTTGCTATATAGGTACATGCCATATACTTTTGGCTCAAGTGCCCAACCAGGTAAAAAGGAGCTTTAGCGCGCGAGCTTCATGTTGAACTAAGGGCTAGAACGGGGCCAGGGCACACCTTTTCATCCGTTCGCAGGTTATCAGCCGTATCCAGACTCCTTTGAGCTGGGTACGTGCTGCGGCCTTACACAACACCATCTAAACGCACACGCATCGGATAGATCAGTTACCCTCAGTCACTGAAGATGGACCAATCCGACGCCAGCACTGCATCTTTTGGAGCAGCTGCTGCGGCCGCAGATCGGGTGAGTGCATCCCACAACTCTAGTCCAGGTACGATCGAAGCGGAGACTCTGACAGTGGTGAGAGAAGGTGCGACAGGTAGAGCGCGAAGTCGTTCCCCGTCAGCGCAATCAACACCACCGGGGGGGACACCGAGGTCAGGCCGTAGCCCTAGGGAGACAAGGAGGAGGACTGACACCGGAGCAGTGAGAGTGCTAGCATTGGAGGATGGGTCAACTGTACCAGTGCCGTCGGACAGCGAAGCTGGAGATGGAGCAAGGGCAAGCACTGACAACCTACAACTAGCACGGGCCGATGGAGACCTGAATGCGAAGTGTGCGCAACTACTTGCCGAAGTGCATATGTTGAACCACCAAAACGCATGGATGGTCGAAGGTGAGCAGAGACAGAACCAGATCATACAACACGAGACCGAAGTCCACGAAGTAGTGATGGCACACCTCGAGGAATGTTATGTCGAAGGATATGGAAATCAACGAAGAATCACCCAACTTACGGAATCCAGAGACTGTTTGCTCTCAGCAGCACACGATTTGCAATACCAGATTGACACTGATCGTGTGGCAATGCGGGATCGTCTCACCCAGTTAGGGGAGTACGCTGATCGCAACAGCGCAGAGATGGTTAGTCAAGTTGTGAACATCGGCACGGAAGAGATCCAGGCTATATCGGCGGAAAGAGATCGAGGCGTAACCGAGGTCATGACTGCAGTCGCAGATGCTGAGAACATTAGGGATCTGTATAGACAGGAGTTAGTTGGACTACAAAGGCAGAGTGCCAGGAACAAACACGAATATGCTGAGGAGATGAAGATGAAGGAAGCAATGTATGCAAGCAAGATCAAATGGTTATCAGAAGAGAATGAGGAGCTCAACAACCGATCTTATAATCAGGACAATTTCATCATGACCATCAGGGAGCAATTGAAGAGGGCGAACGAGGAGTTGACGCAGGCGAGGATTCAAGGATCCGAACGACCGTCTCAACCATCCAACGTCGAACTCAAGAAAGCTGAAGTCAAGGTGAACATGTTGGAAGAAGACATTCTACGGAAAGAGAGGATGCTGAAACGTCTTCAGGAAGAACTGATCGAATCGAGCGCAAGTGAAGCACAATTGAAGGTCGCACTGACGTTGAAACCACCAGACATGGGATCGGAACCCAATGTGGAGAATGAGATGATGACCAAGCTTAGAGCGGAACTTGGACGTACCGAGAAGTCGTTAAGGTCCGAGGAGAAAGAGGCAATGGAGTACTACGAAGGTATGATGCAGAACCAGCAGGACATGATGGAATTCGAAGCGCATGCAGCACGGCTCAGAGATGAGAGGAATAAGTACCGGAGGAGGTACGAAGAGGAGCGCTTGAATGCAGAGAATGCAGCCGCAACCGAACATGGTGCCGCCTCATCCTCTAGCTCGGGTGGCTCCAAGATATCTCGGAAGGAACACGAGAAAATCAACATCCCTGCATGGCCCAAGATACACGACCTGGAGGTTTGGAAATCCCAGGTTGTAGCGGCAGTCGTGACGGCATCGGGCGACGAAAGGCAAGAAGATTGGATCCAGTGGCTCTCGGATGCCTTCAGATCACCATATGACCCATTTCTGCTCGAGACATCAGGTGAAGCAAGATTCGCTAGCATAGACGCTAAGCTAGGTATCACCCTACATACGATCATCCACGCAGCAGGTGAAAGATCTCATGACGTACAACTGAAGGTGAGGCAGATGATGCAGAGACGTGCGAGAGGCACAACCCCTGGAATGGTCAAGGGACGAGAAATGTTAGCGTTGATCGTCGATAGCTTCCGGAGTGCCGACAACGTTGATGTGATGTATGCATCCAAGCACTTATTCGATCTAAAGTTCCCTGGGGATAATCAACTATCCAGATTCCTTGGACAGTGGGATGAGATCATATCAGGTATGGATGCGGATGACATGCTTCCTGACAAAGCACTCCGCAACCTGCTTTGGGATAAGATTAAGGATTCCAAAGTTATGGCGTTAGACTTGTCCGTGTACGACAACATGTTGGATAAGGATCCGGATAAGACCTACCAGAAGTTACGAGAGATCATGGCGAAGTGGATACGGAAATCAATCGAGACCACAAACAAGAAAGAAAGGGAAAAAGCTTTTGGGAACCTCGTGAAAGCCACACCAGCGGCGGAGAAGAAGGACCCTAAAGCGAAGCCCAAGAATACCAAGGCCGATCCACCGAAGCTTGACGCCGCTCCAGTACTTCCTCAGGCTAATCCGAAGGATCACCACAAGAAGGACAAGAAGCAGGATCGTGGAAGGTCAACCACGAAGAGCCCAAAGGGGGATCGTGGCAGGTCAGCGACTCCGGCAGATACGTCCAAGATAGGATGCGCTTTCCACTTCCATGGGAAAAACGGATGTTCTAGAGGAGACAAATGCAAGTTTAGTCACCAAGAGAAGCACAAAAGTTCTGCTAAGAAACCAGAAAGCCTCAAGGGTGACAGATCAAAGAGTCCTGGTGGCAGGAGCAGTAGCCCTAAGCCAATGAAGGATCAGGTCTGTTGGAATTGGCAGAAAGGATCGTGCAAGTTCGGGGACAAATGTCGACGTCAGCATCACGCTGCCCCTGCTACAAAACAAGAGGCTAAAGGCAAAGCCAAACCTAAACCGGCTGCGCCAGCCTTCATGCTTTGCGGAGACATCGAGAGTGATGACGAGGACGTACAACCCGCACTTCCCAACGTACAACAAGGTGAGTTGGCGCTTCGCTTTAAAGTCAGATTCGATGACCAGGCGAATGTGACCACGTTCCCCTGCGATCCTGGTAACGAGCTAAACACCCGTCCCCTCAGGAAGAAGAAGAGTGAGGTGCAGAAGGTGGATACCGAGCTCATTTCGTCGTTGAGAGCCCTCAGAGTGAGCAATATAGCTGCACGAGTAGCACATGCCAAAGGTAAGATGATGGAGCTATTTTCTGCTGAACACATTGCCAAGGCATGGATACAAATCACTCAAGATGAAGGAATCGAGGTGAACGTCGACCTGTCTGACTTCAACACCAGCGAGGTAGTAAGGAAGGATTCTGTCAACTACACGATACCAGGAGACACGATGTTCATGGCTGTGGAGAGGTATGATGGACCACCGATACGCTTCATCATGGACACGGGATGTGGACACGACTTGATCTCAAGAGAGAAAGTCAATGCCATGGGCCTTACCACCAAGGAAGGACCCAAATCCGTGAGCTTCATGACAGCGAATGGTGTAACTAGTACATCAGAGATGGTGGACATCAATGTGGACGAACTACCCATGAGATCCGAGGCACACGTGTTGGAGAGCACGCCATCAGTCTTTTCCATCGGGAAACGGTGCATGGAACAAGGGTACTCATTCATATGGCCGGCAAATCAATTGCCATACCTCATCGACCAGAACGCGAACAAGATTCCGCTATCGGTGCATGACAACATACCCTACATCAAG